TCCCTGCCAAATGGGATTTTATTTCTAATGGTTTTTTCTGTAGTATATTCTGGTAATGTATGTTATTATGCAGTCTTCAACTTAAGTTAAATTGCAAGGACGATGTCCCTGGGATTCCTATTCAAGAGATATCCAAGAAAATGGCTTAAATTCAGAAGTAATCCACAGTACAGTTCCTAGATAGAACCCTCAAGTTAAATTTAAAAGATTGTTAAAAGAAAAATCTTGACATACACTTGCTAAGGATGATGCCTGACCTCAAGAAAAAAAACATGGCTTTTGTCTGGAAAGCTTTTGGTAACATTCTACATAGATTTAAGTTCAATGCTAGCTTGTCCGCTAGTATGACATTTCAGAGCCCCTATTACATAGAATATTTAAATTGCTTTTAATTTCATGATGCAGAGAGCACTTAGAAGCAAGTATTCATATGAAAATCAGCATAGGAGAAACTACTACATTTATCCAAATTCAAGCTGGATTTGAAGAAATTCGTAAAAGAAATGAGACTAACAGGGACTTCATGCTAACAGTGCAACACTGACCCAGTGATTAAGCCAGGCATTTTCATTTCTGTAGTGCTCTTCTGTTACTATGAATGCAGTGTAGTGAAAAAGAATCTATGAAAGTTGATTCAAAAATGTTATGCTGTCTTACTAAAGGTGATTCACCTCAAGGGCTGCATTCATTTCAGCTGCACAGCCTGTGGGATGCAGACCTTCCTGTCTTCATTTTCTAAAATAGTTTCAGAAAACAGCCAAAGTATTGTGCATAAGACTCAAGAGGCAATCCAAGAATGTAAATAGTCTTCAAAGGAGAGAAACATGTTACACTAAGACCCAATTATATTCTTGAATGTTATGGTGGTATGTACCACTGTGGATTGCTCAGTTTCACAGCACCAATTTAACCTCTTAGGCCTCAAGTTCAATGAGTTAAAAATTTAACTTTGTTAAAGATGAAGATTTCTCACTTTCCCAACTCAACATGGTTTAAAAGCTTTTTTTTCCCCAGTTTAAATCAAATGAGAGAGATGGCTGAGTTAACATTAAAGTGAATTCAAGTATCTTTTAAATGTCATTGCTTATAAAGTTCAATCTTGGACACTATTCCTGTTAGAAAATCCAATACTGAATATGTACGGTTTTGGACAAGCAGTAAACAGAGTGACTGACAAGGGTAGAGATTTGGTACCACAGTTAAATCCAAATCTACAATTAAAAAAACCACCCAAACCCAATAAATCCCAAATACAACAAAAATACCACTGCACATAGAAAAGGGAAGAGGGACAAGAAACTAGTGTTCTATAAGTCAATATTGGTTTCTTTTCTCCAGCAAAATGATTCTCCCAAGACATGAATACTGAAATTAAAAATAGCAAATATATAATAATTTAGCTCTTTGAAACCATTAGTTAACTTCCTTAAACTGTACACAGCATTACACATTCTATTACAGAGAATGTTTATCCACCATAGTAATTTCTCACAGGTAGAGAATACTCCATGAAAATAGATACAAACAAACGCTATAAAGTGGCGCAGGTAATTTCAGGACCAAAACGCTATTTTAACAAGGTAAGGTAACTCAACAGTATTCATGCAAACTTACAGGTTTATATCAAAAGACTTATCCTAAAAAAAACCCAAGAAAAGAATTCATAGTATCTACCCTAATTGTATTTGTCCTCCAGCAGCTGCTGAAATTGCAAAAACAGTAGCCAAACCTACCTTTCTACATCTCTCAGTCTACCCCACTTCTTTATAGTAGAAATAGGGAAAACAGTTCTTACAAAGAAAAATAATAGATCCAAAGTGCTTTCCTGAAGGTGAAAAAATTACCAGAGTGAAGCACTTAAAACATTTATTTATTTGATATAACACAGTTCATTCTCAGGCCAATTGAAATTATTTATCCTCCATAAAATACTGAAGGCTTTATATTCTAGAATGCAACAACCTAAAGAAGGGTCAAGAATGGTAATATTTTTAAAATAAGTAAGTTGGTAACAAAATAAACCAAACATTTTCCATTTTACCCATGCACAGCTGCAGAAGAAACAAACATGCTGTGTGAATTTTGATGTAGGCTTTTAGGAAGTGACCAGAAAATAAAGTACAATCAAAGGGAACTATGATGACTTTTCATGTTTCCCTAAAATTCGGTTACCCTTGAACGCATTTTGAGCTGCACTGGTTGCTGCTGTTGACGTGGCGTTGGCTGCAGCTGTTTGCACAGTCTTGTTGGACATCACTCCCGTCGCAAACTCCTGCTGCGCTTTCTCAAAACTAGCGCCAGTCGTGCGGTAGAGGCCATGCACCTAAGGAGGTGGAAAATTGGAGAAAAAGGGCACTGAGCTGTCCATTTCTTGGCAGACTAATAGCAAATTCTCAAACACGAAGAGCTGTGTGGTGGGGAAGTCTGGTTTGCTCATGTGTTTGGGAGGATCCAGAAATGAGTAAATGTAATCCTACAACTTCTTATCGCCCTGCTGCACGCACAGTTTCAGCGCAAAAGGTTTTTATACGTCTTTATTAAAATGTGCATGGTATCTATTATCTGAAATAACACAGTTAAATACAGGAACAGGCTGCATCCTTAGCATAATACAGGACTCACTGCTTGCAAAAACATCTTCTGCCTCAATTTGTGTATCTTTGAGTTTTCATGCTATGCAATCATTAATTGAGCACAAAATGTTAAAATAATAAAAGCAGAGAAATAGAAATCCTTTTCTGAGCTGCCAAGCATCTCCCTCTTCTATTGGTTTTAAAGGGAAAAATTTTGGGAAGAGCCGAAACTGAGCAGTCACTTGAATCAAACTTCACTCAGCCTGATGAATCACCACAGATCTGAAAATTACAACCTGGCATCTACAAGTACAATGATAGTGCCCCTCATCTACTGCAATGACATTCACCTTCCCTGTCACTCTGGGCTTACCTCCCAGTTTTTCTTATTCAGAGCTATCCTTCCCCATTTTAGTTTGTAGAAAGTAAGTGCATTGTACAAACAGCATTTTTTAACTCCACAACAGGATAAGCAAAAAACAGGTTATATTGTTAACACGTAAGGCACACCCCCCCCAAGAGTATCATTTAATCCCCACTACTTCATGAGAGAGTACCTCAAGCAAAGAAAGGAAACAAAAGAAGGGAACAGTATGTATCTTACCTTTTTAAACATAACTAATGAGATAACAGCAGATGCTGTGAAAAGTGCAGCTATGATTATCATCATAATCCCAACAGGAATACTCTTATTCAGACCAGTAAGAGATGAAATCCACCCACTGAAGGAAAAAGAAAAGACAAACTTTACTAGCACAGCACATGAATCACTGGTATCCACATCAGGAGAAGCTTTATAACCTCCTGGTCCTGATCAACTTTGAATATTTTTGAAGAGCAAGTCATGGGAATTTCACACAACCATATTTTGGTTCTATAATATGCTTCTAGAGCTTTGTTTCTATTTTTCCCAATGTATGCAGTGAAACTCTGTGAAAAATTGTAGTAAAGATGATTATTCTTGAGCAGAATTGAAGAAATTGTGAAGAGTTGCTCATCGACATTTTAGTGTTTGTTCCCAGGTTTTTTTCTGTAGTTACTGTCATTTCAGATCAATTCAAGACTACATGATTTCATGGAAAAGAAAATGTCTCTAAAAAGATAGCTTATAACATCTTTAAATATAAAAAAGCCATGCCACACAAACACAGAGCTTGTGTGGGAAGACTAATTTATTTGTATCCACACAGTGATGCTTTCTCAATTGACATTAATATGATAATTCTTTGAAGAAGGTACTATCAGAGTAAGCAGTAGAAAAGATCACTATATCAGTATCTACATTTCCCCATTCCAACAGAAAAATACAGTATTGAACTCGAAGCCATAAAAACCAGGTTGCCTTAAGAGAAATAAAACAAGATGGAAAAGAGTCTTTCACAGAAAGAAAAGCAAAAAATTTCTGTAAACCTCAACAACCTTAAAACTTTCCTCTACCTGTTTCAAATTGCTTTGATATCCCCTAAGTCCAACCAGACTCTACCACAAAACTCCAAAATCCAAACTGTAATTAGCATTTTCTGATGATCTACTTTTCATACTCCTTCCCCAAGCACCCTTAAAAGCACACTCCACATACTTGGAGAGGTAGCCCTCTATAAAGTACTTTTACCATTTTGGTAATGTCAATCAGTATGTCTATGAAAACCCAAAATATCCGATTCGAAAACAAAAGTGAACAAAACAGCATCTTTCCTTATACTCTAGTTCTAAAGCAATGCTGTTTTGTCTGCCTTACGTATGCATGGAGGTTAGTAGCAAAAAGCACAGATACAGAGAAGTGTCACAACCCAGCAACAGCACTGCTGGTCACAGCTCTCCACGCTACCAGCTGGATACTACAACCGTGCTTTTAGTTAATTCAAGTTCGTTGTGTTGGTTTTTTTTCCAAGGATGGTGACTGGTTCACAATGGCTTTTCCTTGTAAAATCTAAATATTAGACCTTGAAGACTCAAATAATAGGAGAATAATAACTGAAGTACCTCACACTGTTGGGATATGTTTCACCAACTTTTCCTAGTTAAGAGCAGTCCAAAAATGCCTTTTTTTTTCTTTTGAGTGCTAAATGTAACATTTTCATCAAACGCAAGATTTTTTTTGAAAATACACACAGACCAGATTGCAGCTGCTGTACCAGAAGTGAGTGTTTGTGTTACAGACACTACAGCAATCAGAATACTCACCAGTTTCCCCATCTCTGAAATCCTGCAGCTTGAAGTACATGTACAGCAAACTGACAGATATATACAAAGAAGAACACAAAAAACCTGAACGAACTGTCACTCCTGAAATAAGGGGAAAAAACAGGATTAAAGCAGCCAGGAAATTAATTACTTTTAGCAAATATTGTAGTACCAATCTATCTTTTTTTTCTGCATTAGCTAAAGGAAAAGTGCTTTTATTTGTTGACAGTGACTTGAAATACCACTAATTCTGTGATTTTTTTGAGTGTTTATTTGCAAGAGCTGCTGCTCCTTCCTTAATAGAGTATTTTTGCCACTGGCACCTCTAGTAGAGGTGAGAATGGCAGCAAGAGACTATTCCTTGGTGTTCTGTTCAGCACACAGCAGGGCCTCTTAGACTATGCATAGAGGTTTTATTACAATGCATTAACAACAGAATTCTGCTCTGCTTTCAGACTGAAGTTCACAGGTCTGGCAGGATGGGAATAAAATATTTTAATTGTAAAAGTAAATAAAATATAATATGGAATTACTGAAACACAGTGCTAACCAGAATACTGAAGCAGCTGTTGCTTGAAAGCTAAATACACAAAATAGGTTTGCTGTTTAAAATTACTAAAATGCCAGCCTGACAAAAAGACTGAAAAAAAACCAACAACCAAACAACGAAAAAACCACCATCACCAAAACCAAACCCAACTATAAGTAAGACCTCAACTTTCTACTATGAAAACTCGTTACCATATGATATGCTTGCTACCAGAGTTCTAAAGAAAGCAGAAATAACTTGGTCAAGTCACAGAACCAGATTTTTCCATTAATAGCTATTCCTGCAGAAGGGGGTTCACTTTTGTTTATTCAAACAGTTCAATTCAATAACTATTTCATTTTCAGCTGTGCAACTGACCAGAATTTGAATATGCAAGTAGTATTTTTCCTTTTCCAAACAATCTATATTCACTAAGATAAGCTATGGATTTACTAGAGAGCAAAAGCAAATTCAACTATATGATTCCTCAAAGATGTGTGGATATAGCAATACTTCCCTGGTTAGCAAAAAGAAACATCTCATTTAGTCTAAAGGTTAAGCTTAACAGCAATTTCTGGCCATCAATCTTTCTCTACAAGAATTAGTGCATTTAAACTGAGAATACCCTGAATCACTTCAATGTAAGCAAAAAAAAAATCCCAAGTAATACTGTAAGAGTACAAGAACTTAAAATCTCTACATGCTGATTTTCACCAATAAAAGTTCAATTTTGCACACAAATCAACCATTCTATTCTTAAACACAAAGCTAACACACCTCACACTCGTGAATTCTGAGAAGACTGCTAAAAGCTAGGAAAAATACTAGACTTTCATTACTGTATACCCGCTTCACATATTCTTAAAAAACTCAAGTCTATGTCAACTACAGACACTGTAGGTTACTTAACAATATAAGACTTTTATAGTATAGTTTTATGAAGTTCATTCAGGAAACTAAAAACTTAGGATACTCTTAACTATTAACCTACTCAAATTCTTCATGCAAAAGCAGAGATTTAGTTAGAATTTTCCTTAAAACTTTTATGAGCCCAATACAAACTTAAGTATTTCCTACAAATACTTTGTAAATGGTAGAAGCTATAAATACTTTAAAGTATATTCCATTATATTCCTAACTATTGCCATATATGTTTCAAATACAGCTGAATTAATGGCAAAGTTACTACTTGTTTCTAATGAAAGCACATTAAAGGATTATCATAATGATAATCAAGCAATTCTGGAATATTATTGCATTTCAACAAGTTTTAAAATATCCTAAGTCAAGCTGAAGTCGTTACCTGAAAGCTCCATAAAGTGGTCTGTACCAGCAGACAAAAGAAAAAGGGGTAAAAAGCAAGAACCAGAGTATACTCAATCCAAAATCAACCCCTCGTGTAGCATCAACGTAAAACCAGGCCAAACATCCAAAGATATTAAGAAACAGTGTCACTGTATGGACTGTAGAAGCAAAAGCAAAATAGTCTTAATTAAAGTATGTTTATACAATAAATTATTACAACTGTTAAAGTAATATCCAAACTGAGCATTTTTACACAAAACATCAGTATGCTGACAGTAAATTAATACCCTCTCAAGATCCTCAGCAACAAGCTAACTTGTAAACAGATTTTTTAACTTTCAGGCAAACCTTGTATTCACATGTGAAAGTACTGAACACAAAAATTCAAGTACTATCAGGTAGATGATGAAGGAAAAAAGCCTGTCATAAAATAGTACCTTTTCAAACTTAAAATTATCAAAAATAGTTTCTACAGCTGCAATAATTGATACTTTACTTGATATGTAGATAATACCGAATATTTTTTGAGAGCAAGCTTATAACTCATATGAAATGCATCATACATTTAGCACTGTACAGATTCTAAATTGAAAAGAAAATTTAAAAGAACCCCAAACTTAAAATGCAAAGCTCTTTGTCTTCCATGTAATACAGCAAAAAAAACCCCACTTAATAAAAATGTTTCTCAGTAAAACAATCTGCAAGAAGCTGTTCTAGATTCTTTAATACATATTGCATATTCAAGTATTTCTCATAACACTGGTCTTAAACATCTGCCTTTTTGGTGCTCTGTTCTTAGCTCAACAGCCCATTGGCAGACCTCGTTACAGGTTAACTGCTGAATTTCTACTACAGAAAATGCATTGGCAATACAACTTCACAGCTTATTTCAAATATATTTAATTCTTAGAACATAAAAAGATAATGGAGTATTAAGAAACATTGTAACTACTACCTTCATGCTATCTGGCACAAAAGTTGGGTCTGCCAGACTTAAAAGATGAACAGGGATTTGTGTCTTTGCTCAGCCATAACCAGTGATTCAGGAGTCATTTTGCTGTCTCAGAGGACAGTCTCTGTCCTTGTGGACCATGATAAAGTAGAGTATTTAAAACTGAGAGTGCACAAGCTACTCCTTGCAGCAATGATACTCTATTTAAGTGCAAAAAAACATTTTAGTCATTTTACTGGAAGGAAAGGTTAGCAGAAGAGCTGACAAGATTCGGGGGGGGGGCGGGGAAGACTCCTTAAACTCTTTGCTGCCCTCTTCACTAGTATTTAAATAAGTCCTAAGTCAACTTAACGAGAAAAATGTCTTAACGCTAAATGCCCTCACCATTGCATGACAGGCTGATGAATGATGAAATTCAAAAACACTGCCCTCAGAAAAATGGTATTTTCCTCTAAGAGTCGCCAGAAACAGAAACTGTACTTTTAAATAAAAAGCATTTAATGCTTCTACATATCTTAGCACTGTTCCAAGATGTCAGCAAAGCAACTCATTTCAGAATTCATGTGTATGCTTCAAAGCACAACAATGGATACAAATCCAAATTCCTGCCTTCCACTGAAAAATATTGAGGAAGCTTTAGTCAATACTGGAAAACAGGGAGAACCCCAGATTACTAAAAACAGCCACATTCTGGTGGAGTTCAAACTTTCTGAAATTTCTTTTTTTTTTTTTTTTTTTGCAATTGCAATTATGATAACAGGACAAGTTTTAAAAGCATATCATGAGAGCAGAAGAGGGTTGCAATGTCACACCCACTACTGATACTTAGAAGCTTAACAAAACCAGCAACTTAGGGTCTACTTCACTGAAGTTACGGAGAATCTCATCAGTAAAAACTGAGTATTACCAAGCTATGGATGAAGACACAGGACTTCACTGACAATTCTTCCTTTGCTCCACTTGCCTTTCTCTCTGCCTGCTGCAAGCCTCAGAAAGGCATTTGTTCTCTGAGCCAACACCTTCACTAAGTAAGCTGGAGAAGCTTTGTCATTTTATGAACAGACAGGTGTTTTATGCTCAGGATAAGAGGTTTAAACACCTTCCACCTACTTGCCTTTTCAAATTAAATCATTATACAAGTTATTAGAAGATAATGTGCACCTGGGGGCTGAAATGTCCTAAGGCTCTGGAAGTCTTCAACGTGCAATGTCTATATGACAGTAACTTCCAACTATACCAACACAGTACTCAGTGTGAAGAGATCTGAGAGCCTTCTCCTAGCTTAGCTGTGGAGGCAGTTGAGGCTTTAAAAAGAAGGGCACTCCATTCATGCCAGAATAAGAGTGAACAATGGGAAATTACATTAGTTTAATAAATATTGAGACTCAATATCCCTTTTTTTATTGTAAACTTCCTTGTACAGAAGAATCCTACTTATAGTCACATACCCTGTCTTAATTAACTACTCATTATAATCCATTAATGTCTGAAAATGAAATGTAGATAAAGACCAGAAGCTGCACTCATGCTCTTTGGCATCCACATTATTGAGATGGTTATTTTGCAGTCTCATTTGGGACTGTGTGAAAAGAGATTTTTGTAGTAAGTTTCAGTTCAGTAATGTTTTATTGACAGTATTCTTGGGAAACCAAACTCCTCACCAGCACACATGACAAAAGAATGCCCTTCCTTCCAGGAACCAGCTGGACTGTCAACCTGTAATGGACTGCCTCAAGGGGAACAGGATGCCTACAAAACAGAGGGGTTTGAAGGCACAAGGCAGTTGAAAAGTGAGGACAAAGCTGGTGAAAGGCTGAAGAAAGGCTGAAGAAAGCCTGAGAGACCTGGGTCTGTTTAGCCCAGAGAAGAGAAGAGCAAGAGGGGATCTTAGAAATGCTAACAACTATCTAAAGGGCAGGTGTCAAGATAATTGGGTCCAACTCTTTTCAGTAGTGCTCAGTGAAGGGCAATGGGGACAAACTGGAACACAGGAAGTTACATCTGAACATAAGGAAAAACGTTTTTACTGTGAGGGTGCCAGAGCACTGGACCAGGCTGCCCAGAGAGGTTGTGGAGTCTCCTTCTCTGGAGACATTCAAAACGCGCCTGGACATGTTCCTGTGTGACCCAGTCTAGGTGATCCTGCTCTGGCAGGCGGTTGGACTGGATGATCTTTCGAGGTCCCTTCCAACTCCTAACATTCTGTGAAGTCTGATCATACACAACCTTGGAGCACAGAGTGGCTTCAGCCATAGTTTAAATTTGTCTTTTTGTCTGTTCTGCTCTTTTTGGAGAGGGCGAGTGTAAGACATGTGCTAACACACCTTATAAACGTGCTTCCATAGGGAAAAATACATTCTGAAACTAGCTTAGATCAGCACATGGCAAGGACATGGTATCAGAAATGTAAAGGTGGGGTTTTTTTCTCTACACAGTACATTAGGACTTCAGCTAAAATACTGTATGCGGTCCACATTATAAAATTCTTGATACTATACGCTAAAAAACCCATAATAATAGAGTGGACCAAGCAGCAAATCTGTGACACAGCAACCAATCAGACCTCTAGAAAACATAACTTAAAAAAAAGGCTGAGTAAACCATGCTAATTTAATCAAAAATAGAAAACTAATGAGGATAAATGTGTTCTCCATAACAGCAGCGGACAGAACAGGGAGAAGCAATGACAGGAAGAGAGAATTAAATTATATCATTAGAAGGTGTTTCCAAGTATAAGACAGCAACACACTAAAACAGGCTTAGAGGGAGTTTATTAAGTGTCCATCCTTGGAGGTTCTCAGGAACAGGCAGAACAAACATCAACACAGACTGATGTATGTACTACTGATTGTATCCTCAGACAGAAGGATGGATGAGATTAAACTCTCCTAAAAGGAAATAATACCATAAAAGTTAGCACATTAGGGTATTATTTTTCTACCAGAATCTACAATTTAAGTAATTTGAAAACCTTTAAAAGTCTTGTTCACAGAAAATACAAACATTCACAACCTATATAAAGTAACAAACCCAATTCCCACAGAAGCTTTCCATGAGATTAAGCAGCTGTTTGGCTTGCAACTTCAAATAAGAAATAGTCTTTGAAAATCGGTACTGCTCATTTTGTACATGCTATCAACCTGCAAGGAAAGTAGATGGCAAACACAGGCTTTTGAGCCAAAAATTTTTGGTGTTTGATACAGGTCAAGAGACATGGGACACTTCATTAGTAACAGCACAGAAAGATCTAAAAAGTAGTGCTCAGTGCTTAAGAGTCAGGAAAACTGTCATTCTATCTGCAAGCCACTAAAACAGCAATGGTCTCAAAACCAAGACAGAACAGAAAAAGCTCTACAGGCAGCTGCCAGAAGCCACTGCCAACTGACTGCTGTAGTTCACAAAATACATGTGAGCAGTTAAAAAAAAAAAAAAGTATTTCCAGGGGAAGAAAACCCCAAACATGCAAAGATAAAACCACACCAAGGAATCAGAAAACTCTTCACTTCTGATACAAATAGAGAAAAGATGGATGATTCATGGCATAGGGATACAAACTTGTTTTTTCATCAAAGAACACACAGATCTGACACAGGTTAAAAAGTTTCCTCAGACACATGAGGACCGAGAATAAGGATATAAAAATTGCTGTTAACCACGGCAACACACATAAAACTGAAACAGAAAAGTTTGTTCCTACAGCTGCTATAAAGGAAGAGGAAAACTAACCTACTTTACAAAGTGCTGAGCACACAGTGCTAGATTTATCCAAATGTGACTATGTTCACAGAGTCCCTAGGCCTTACATGACCTAGGAAGTTGTGGAAAATAAAATAAAATCCAGGGTAGAGCAGCAGGCAGAAGCAGGCTGGTTTGTCTCCACTGAGGAAGCACAGCCACTCTAATGAAAAATAAAACCAAACCATGTAGATACGATCCTGAAAAAGAAGAGCCACAAGGACTGATTCAGCAGCCAGCCCTAAGGCATGAAGTATCGTACTCAGTCTTTTTTCCTTTAGCCTGAAATACATTTTGTCTTTCTTTTCCCTTATTATGCCCTTTTCCTTTACTTCTGAGTAATTCCTAAATCAGAGAGTACTAGAGCTAAAGAAGGAAAAGAGCAAGAGGACTCCATTAAAATCTGAGTCTACCTAGAAGAAAATCCGTTATGCTAGTGTAAAAGCACAACTTAGATCACAACTTGATTAGATTTCATCTAAATCTTAAGTGTCTGTCAGATTTATGAGAGCAACTAGTCACACATTCTACAGTAGTTTTAGTTGCTCATTTGAAGATTAATGACCCTGCAATGACTAGAGAAAGCTGTGGATTATGAGGAAGTGAAATTCACTTGATTCAATGCTGACTGCTTATTCTATGTGCTTCAATTATGTGGTTCAATCACAGTAATAAAATTACCAGATTAACAAGTAAAATTAAAGAGATTTGCTAACTAAATCTGAAGCCCTGACAAAAAAATCTAGAAAAGTTCTGAAATTTACATTTGTTTAGTATGCTAAAAATCTATTAAAAGCATTGAAGAACTTTTAGAATCTTTCCTCAGTGTCAGAATAATTATTAGGCCCTCATCACACCGGACAAGGCAGAAGAAACAAATGTTGTGGCATTTGCACATTTGGTTCATCCAGCATTTCCCCAGTCAAAACACAGTACCTGAATGAGGGCAAAATCAACCCCATTAATATGGTGCAGAGCATTGATGTACAGGACAGTTTTAACATGGATAGGGTCTTTAGCTAATTTAATTTACACTACTTTTTAAATGGACTGAAATCATATTAAGTCTCCACTCCACTACAGACTAAAAACTATATTAAACTATATAAATGTACGTATATAAAAGTAAATGAATATTAGACTTCTTAAACTCATAAGTCTATTAACACTGATTGCGAATTATACTTCTTAATACAGAAGCTGATTTTAAAACAAGTACATTTATTTTGAAGTTAAGAAATGGTCAAAGCTCATTTTACAACAGCAGAAATATTAAACCAGAAAACTGCAACATACTCAAACCAGACTGTGTTAGAATAATTCACCTTTTTCTATGGAAGTTTCTATGAAATAATCCAATACTTTAAAAATTGAAGCTAACAAAAAGATTTCACTTCAGCATTTGACTTCTGAATTTAAAAGAATTTCTCATTCCTGCAAAAGTAGTAGGTACGTATCATCAAGTTTTAATAAGAACTTTGTTTTATATTTAAAAAAAAAATACTTACACATCCACAAATAGTACATAATCTTTACTGTCTTCTGGAATTCTACAGGAATGTCTACAGAAAAGTCCTGGTAGAAACAAGGTCCTACTGGAAAATTCTCAGGAAGAGGTGGCCAGTTATGTTTTCTACCTGTAAAACAGAAAAACTCCTGAAGTCTTTCGAGTACAGTTTTAATCTCTGTATTGTAGAAAGAGATAAGCATTTGGACTCATTTGAATTGTTTTATTCATAAGTTTCACATGTGTGTGGATAACTTTGGCTACCAGAACCCAGGAGTTTTTTTTAACGCAGATATTCATTCCATAGTATATGGTTACTTCTCTCATGACTCTGTTTCAAGACAGAGTTACGGAAAAATTGCATCTTATAATAAATCAGATTACGGTTTAAGAATTGTATTTCATGTGGTTTCCCGCTGCTGTGGTACACGTTTCAAAATTTTCAACAAAGACTGAAAGACAGCTTGGTGAGATGGTTTAAGAACAAAAAACAAGTGCATTTTTTTCTACATACACTTTGGATACTCACATTCAAAGACTGTATCTTGATAAACAAGGAGCTAGCTCAGAGTTACTTCATTCAACACAAGTTAACACCTCAAGGTCTATTAACAAAATTTCAATGGCATGCCTACACTATGAATGCAGACACCCTCAAACTAGTGTCCCACAAGCATAGAAAGGTATTTTTCAGGCATGCCCAAATGAACTAGCTGGAATAGGAAGCAACAGACTTTAATTCTTCTTCATGGATTCCTCAAGCACTTTGAAGTTAACAACTCCAACTTAATAACAAATAACCATTTCAGAAATATCCTGATACATGCATGGGGTATCAGAGTTATGTTCCTTAAGATATAGATAAACAAAAGTGTGCCAAAAGCCAGGAAGAGCAAAGTGATCAATTTAGACCATAATGAAATTAGATGAAGGGCAATACATGGAGAAGGAAATGAAAAAAACTACCAAAAGTCATTATCTGGGAGAAGAGTTAGAGAGATTTAATATAGAGATTGAAAAGAATACTGAGAAAATAAAAGTGATTTAATGAATGGACAGAATCACTTGTGATTCTCTTCCTTATAAGAATAGCAATACCCCATTCCCAGATCCTGGCATATGACTGCTCTCTGCAGCTTCCTGAGGAGAGGAAGCAGCGAGGAAGGTGCCAGTCTCTTCACACTGGTATCCAGTGACAGACACATGAGAAAGTTGCACCAGGGAGGTTTAGACTGGACATTAGGAAGCATTTCTTTACAGAGGAGGTGGTTAAACACTGGAATATGCTTCCTAGACAGGTGGTCAATGCCTCGAGCCTGTCAGTGCAATTTTATTTTCCTGAAGAGATTATAAAATCCCTTCTTTGACCTGTTTCACAATGTCACTGTAAAACCAAAACACTTTCTAAGAAAAAGTGAAATTTATGCAATTTATATAAGTATTTTTTTTCATACATACCCCCTTGCTGATTGAGACTCTGCATTTCCCTTTCTCTGCGATCGAGTTCAGCTGCTTTTCTTTCCAGCTCCTCTTGACGCTTTAGCAGTTCTGCCTGGGCCAAGGCATGCTCCTGAACAAAACAAGCACTGTTAGATATTGGTAAGAAATATGAACACAAAATAAATATTCCAAGTCTGTTCTCTATAATTAAGCATCTCCAGTTATGAAGACTGACCTAATACTGCATAAATTCATGCATTAACCGATTAGTTCAAGACAGCTATTAACTTTCATAAATCATTAGGAAAACAATGCTTATTTATGGAAGACTTTATTCCAGAAGTGTATTTAAATAATTACTAATTGCAAGGATCATAGTGCCTGAAAGTTACAGACAAACCTTTGCAATTTGTGTATAAGCAGGTGGTTCTTCTGTTGGTTTCATTATTGCTGGCTGGGTACTGGGAACATTAGGCATTTTCACAGTTCCTGGAGAAGGCTAAGAAAACAAGACACAGTTATAGGGAAATGGTCTCCTATTCTAATAAACACCTTTTCATTAACTCTGTAAGAACAAATGTAGTTGCTTTAAAGACAGTGTTACCAATAAACCAAAAATCTGATATGTTGTCTGCAATGCTTATAACCTTTAGGAAAAAGAAATTAACTATTTTCTGTGGTGCAGGTGTTCTGCTTATTTGGTTTTACACTGCACTACTTGCCATAAACACACATGGAATTTTACACATCAGTAGAAAGTAAACAGATTTTTAATGTTGTTCAGGCATTAATATGGACAGTTACTGGTGAAGAGAATTGCAGGATTTAACAGTGAACTATTCATATTCGGAAACACGAGGCCATTTATTAGTAATGTCTTCCAGAGCTTTCTACTTAACAAACGCTTTTATCACCTGGCTAACTAGAGCAGCACCATACCGTATTAAATTTTCCAATTCAAGTTCCATAATCTACTGCTTATATTCCACCGTAGCATCTAGTTTCAAGTACCACTGGCAATCCCTTCACTAGGTCATTACCTGTAAGAATACAGCTTACAAGAAGCCCTTAGTAGCTCAAGTTTTTTGTTTGTTTGGTTGTTTTTTGTGGGTTTTTTTGTTGGTTTGTTGTGTTTTTTTTGGGGGGGGGGGTGGTTGTTGCTTGGTTTTTTTGTTCGTTTGTTTTGGGGCTTTTTTGGTTGTTTTGCTTTTGGTTTTGGTTTTCTTTTAAATCCTTTCCTCCTTATACCCATTTGTCATCTTTTCTGGTCTTCTCCACATCTATTATGCACCACACTAACTAGCAGCTACCAAACCAAGGAAAGAACTACTGCCTAGATTGAAGTTATCAACTGAACTGCACCCAAGCAGATTAGTATAGAACTACTAAGATCTTATTTTATTCTTAAATGCTCCTGGGGTGAAACTACAATTCTTTCTTTGTGTAGAGCTTGCAAAATGACAGACTTCCCTGTTTTGTGATCTTGCAAGTCGGAGAACCACTTGTTCCAAATAAGACTGAAATCAAGAACAAAAATACGGTGTGAAATGTGATGTTTTCAATACAAAAGCACCTTAAAACAACGCAGAAATCAACTAAATACCACTAATCTGACAAAATATGACTTGGCTTGGATTACTTGCATTTTATCTAACCATTTTTGAAATGCACAAATGCAATATACACGGGAACAAAAAACACTCTGCCTGAATAAACTCCACTGCAGTGTGTGATACTGCAGGATATCTCAACAACATATGCTGATGCCAGCATGTCAAAATTATATTTCCACTTAATACCTCAGGTCATGATAGAATACTGAGATTATCAGAGAGGTCACATTTCTCAGAAATGCTCAGTGATTTAAGCTTTTCATCCTAAGATTATTCAGTGCTGCAGGATGAAGACAACCAAACGCCAAGTGCCAGGTCCTGCACCTGGGTGACAACAACCCCATACAACAATATGGGCTTGAGGAAGAGTGGCTGGGAAGCTGCCCAGTGGAAAAGGACCTGGGGCTGTTGGTCAATGGCCAACTGAACATGCGCCAGCAGTGTGCCCACATGGCCAAGGCGGCCAACGGCATTCTGGCTTGTATCAGAAACAGTGTGGCCAGCAGGAAATGATCAGCGCTGGTGAGGTTGCACATCAAATACTGCGTTGCACTCTGGGCCTCTCACTACAAGAAGGACACTGAGGTGCTGAAGCATGTCCAGCAACGAAGCTGGTGAAGGGTCTAGCGCACAAGTCTTATGAGGAGCAGCTGAGGGAACTGGCGTTGTTTAGTCTGGAGAAAAGAAGACTGAGGGCAGACCTTATCACCCTCTACAAATACTTTAAAGGAGGTTGCAGCAAGGTGGGTGTTCTTACCAAGTAAGAAGCAACAGGATGAGAGGAAACAGCCTCAAGCTGTACAAGGGGAGGTTTAGATAGGATGCTAGGAAAAATTTCTTCACTGAAAGAAGCATTGGAAAAGTCTGCCCACGATAGTGGTTAAGTCACCATCCCTGGAGGTTTTGAGAATTAATGGACACTTCGTAAAGGCACTGAGATCCATAACTATTAAGTAATCAGAACAGAAATTCTCATCTGTTAGTGTTCTACAGTGTTCTGTTTGTCTACGTTACTTTGTTTTGTATTGATACAGGATTTCTAGGAAAACAAAATTACTGAGGCATCTTTGAAGGAAACCAGCGAATCTGCTAACTTGCCAGGTAACTTATTTACCTTGACAAACATCTTATGCAGCTCACACCATGCATCTCCAAAACTACTGTGCCTTCTTTAGTCTCAGAAGTAGATGAGTAGATAGAGGCTTCTCAGGTGGCTTCAGGGAAATAGAAGTCAAGCCTCCTCCCTTTCTTTGCAAATTTAACAGTCCAGTTCATCCTTCTGGAACCTAGATGACTTGGCCCTGTATCAGCCATAATGAAAATCTGAAAACATTATATGATCTATGTTTCTTACCTGAGCAAAATGTCACAGTCATCCTGTAAAAATTCCTTCTCTTTCTAGTATCATGGATCAACGTCTGGCTTATTCAGGATAAAGTAAGAGAATTTATTTACTTAGGATAAAGTAAGTAGAATTAGGATAAAGATGCAGAATTCTGTTGTAATTAATACATAATTTACTAAGTAAAAGAAATTAAACATATATATTCTGACTCTCTTACAGATAAGCATACACATGGGTTGTTGGGAAAAGATGTTGCTTTTATTACACAGCACATTACTTGTTGGAATACAGCAAACTAATTAGATATTCTGGGGAAAAAAAAACCCAAACACTGTAAGAACTGCCAAATACTGGAACAGGTTGCCCAGTGAGGCTGCAGGATCTCCATTCTTGTGTGTATACAAAACTCCCCAGGACAAGATACTGAGCAATGTGACTTAGTGACCAACTTTGAATGGGAGCAGGGGGAATTGAAAAAGATGACCTCCAGAGTTCCCTTGGAACCTAAGACTTGGCACTTAGTCATGCTTGTTTGTCCATGTGCTGTTGGTTGCTGCTCCAAGTGGTATTGGTGGCTTAGGGATTTGAGTATGGAAGAGAGATACCCAACTTACAGCCTGCATAGGACTGATGAGACATTCACAGCAAGACAGATGGTTAGCAATTCTGTCTTTTTAAGGTTGTAACTCTAACACTACACACTCAGACTGTGTTGAGGACTGCACTAACCTCCAGCCATGATTGGATAAAGTCATATCATATCTCATATCATGATATACCATCCACATTTGGACAGGGGAGCTATGTTGACTTTTTACAGACTTAACTTCACAGATCCATAGTCTTTCACTCTCACTGACACATAACATTAAGGTACTTACATCCTGAAATTCAACTAGCTGCACTCTACAACACCCTTTTTGTTGCTACCTCAAATGATACTTTTACGAAAAATCTTTTTATTTCATGCCTTGCTCTCACAGCTGCACTGGGGGAAGAAGGAAACTATTATGACCTCTCTTGAAGAGGTCAAAAGAAGTTCTCTCTTGAATAGGTTTCTCCATGTGGGTGAAGCAGTTTATTTACAGGGGGCAGGGGGAAGACTTCCCAGAGAAGTCAGGTGTGGATGATCCATCTGGTTTCCTAAGAACACTTCACTAGATGCAAGATAAGAGGGGAGCTGCCAAGGAATTTATTGCAAAAAAGCCCAACATTGAAATACATCTCTTAATATGGTGAGTTGACACTGGCTAGACCCAGGTACCCAACAAAGCCACTCTATCACTCCCCCTCTTCAACTGGGCAAAGAAGAGAAAATATAATGAAAGGCTTATGGGCTGAGAGAAGGACAGGGAGAAATCATGCACTAATTACCATCATGGGTAAAACAGACTCAACTCGGGGAAATTTGTTTAATTTATTACCAACCAAATTAGAGTAGGATAATGAGAAATTAAACCAAATCTTAAAACCCCTCTCCTTCTTCCAGGCCTCAACTTTACGCCAGAATTCTCTACTTCCTCCCAGCCAGCAGCACAGGGAGATAGGGGTTGTGTTCAGTTCATCACATGCTGTTTCTGTCGCTCTTTCCTCCTTAGAGGGAAGACTCCTCACACTCTTCTCCTGCTCCAACACCTCCTCCTGTCCTTCACTGACCTTGGTGTCTGCAGAGCTGTTTCTCTCACATACTCTCACTTCTTTCACACACTGAAGTTGTAGTTGTGCAGCTTTTTCCACCTCTCTTAAACATATTATCACAGAGGTGCTACCACAACCCCCAAATCACTTGGCCTTGGCCATTGTCAGGTCTGTCTTGGAGCTGGCTGGCATTGGGTCTATTGGACACAGGGGAAATTTCTGGCATCCTCTCACAAAAGCCACCTCTGTAACTCCTCTACCGAAACTTGCCACACAAACCAAATACACTTAAAACAACAAAAAAAGCCCAACTCTACTAGTGATTTTTTCCAATTTATTAATGCAGCAATTTGAAACTATTTGCTACATGCATTATTGTGTCTATACATGTTATACATGCATACACAGAGTGCTCAGAGGAGTTCCACATGCATTAACAAAACTTGTAGAAGCAGGAAGAGACTAAAGGCCTTTAACAGTAGTTTCATTAAATGATGAGGCAGAAATACTGTCTAATCTCATCAGTTCCTTGTTGACTTCAGAAACATGACAAAAGACGCAAAGTAATCTCCATGGTGACTGTTAGAGCTTGAGACAAAACCACTGAAGACACAGGCAATTATATTTAATTTGACATTTATACAACTCACTGAAAATTTTGTTTGGTTTAACAATCAAAAATAAGACAGGCTTTCACATTTGTTAAGAAGCAAAAATACCCACCTGATTTCTCGTACATGATATCAACGTGGTGACACTTGAGACCTAAAATCTCCTATGCCCATCCACTTTCCTCATCATGTCTTATGTTTTATTTTCCTACTAAATGTCCCACTGCAGATGTGAATGATATAACCTGACTAAGAAAAAAGGTGAACGCAATGAAGTACTAAAAATAAAAATATTTTTAAATAAATAGAATAAGGAATACTGAGAAAAAGTACTATTCACTTTTTTTCCTGTCCTATCCTGACAATCAAGAAAGAACTGATAGGAAGCATTTCCCACGGCAAAAGCAGAACACAACTGAGCTAAGATAATGAATGTCAGTATTCAGAGCTTGAAGACACTGTCTCACAGAAGAAACATCCTTGTCGTGACTTGCAATGCAGAAATAATTTTGCAGTCCAGCATGCTTTATAAACTTAAATTTGGAGGGAAGGGTGAAAGAAAATTAATGCTGTGTTAACGGTATAGACTGCAAGATACCATCTTACCACTACCACTAGAAATTTGGATTTCTAATTGACAAATATCATTCTCAGCTTCCTTAAAAGCTACAACTACACACTGTTACTCATAGTGAAACAAACATAATTTTAAGTTTTAGAAACCAGTAATGACATATTTTGCTACCACCAGCTTGCATCCTTCCTGCTCACTAGAGCCATTATGGTTTTCAAATGTTAGAAGTGGGATTACCTGAACAAAACTGTTCAAGATGACTCAGGTTCCTATCAAAGATAGAACAAGGAACAGCAGCAAATCAAAGCCCCCAGAAACTATCTGGATGGTTTTGGGTAAAAAAAAGACACAAAATGCAGAGTAACTTCTTTTCTTACCCTGATGGACATTGTAATCCTCCAAGTCTAAAATTCACAGACCCTGTTTCTACCGCTATTCAACCAACATTTAAAGGCATTTACTTCCACTGTCTTCTTCCTTACTCCTGCTG